CAATAACTGCCGAGGAATATTTCATGGCTACTCTGTTGTGACTCCGATTATCCCTCGCACCGCCTTCTACGAAAGGGGCAAGTGCAACGGGGTAAATATGACAGAAAGTGAGAATAAAATTGGCGGGGGGAACAGTACAAGGTCACTCAACTGGCCTCGGGGACAAAATCCTATCAGCGAGATTATGTCTAACTAACGACTTTCGCTTATCCTCAACTATTCTGCTTGCAAATCTGTGATGAAAGAAAGTCACCTTGAACGCATAGTTTAGTTAACAAAATTCTCACTTCCCGCAAATTAGCGTCGGTCATCAGCAAGTGCAGACTTGGCACTGTGTGTTTATGGCAAAAGCAACGAGACACAGGAAGAGGTAACACAAGCAACCTAATTCTAGCCTACCTTGTGGTCGTCTGGAAGGAAAAACGCGCATTAGAAGGAAGGCCAATTGGCCAGCATGACTAGCACATGGCTTGACTATAAGAGAATGGGCGGGTAAAGGACTGTTTCAATAATTCTGAAGAGGAAATAAGTTACTTCATGCTACTGGGCAGTGGCAAAAGATTTAGGGAAGGCTGAAGGGAAGCAGTAGAATGGCGAGAACACAAAGAAGTGCTCAACAACAAAAAACGAAGAAAGAAGAATCCTTCGAAACAACGTTTTTATAATGCCTCTGTTAGGTAAGCCATTTGTAAACGGTATAAGGCCAACAGTTACCCAGTAGGATTAAATACAGCTTCCGAAAAAGTAAGCAAAAAATAAATAATCGGCATCATACCTTTAATTGCAGACTGTCGATGGCATTTGTCGCTTCACCTTCAAACCCATAAGCAGTGACTATTTCTTCGTCAAGGGCTTTTGCAATGGAACTGCCAACCTTGAAATAGAAACATAAAGTTAGTTGTAAAGAACGAGATGCGCTACCCTATTATGCGGGCTAGCCATTACTCAGGAAAGTTTAAACGTGCCTAAAAATGGATGGTTCAAGTACTTCCTACTTGAACACGGAAGCTGAGATCAGTCCAGAAAATAGTCAATTTAATAGTGAGTACAACACACGGTTTTCTTTTTCCCTTAAAAGCAAGTACTCCATGAAGACTGCGTAAGTTTACTACAGCTATAAACTAATTGACAGGAAAGTCACTGTTCCTACGCTCACCCTGTTAGGCAGACGGTGTAAAATATCGGCAACAACGGTCCAACTGCGTGTCCTAGCGGGTGTGTGGAAGAAGGGAGGTGGATTTGGGAACAACCACTTTATTATCACAACCTTTGAGACAGTTTTCAACGCGTTAAAATTTACCTTACTTATTTCACGTCATGTTGCCAACCAGCATATTGCTTGTCTAATTAGTCTCGGAGTTTCAAGACCGTTGTATATGATGGTCATGTTACAACCCGCGCCTGGTACTTTTATTCGCACGAATCGGTTCCCCAAGAGCCCGGAAGAGCGACAGAGAGAAAACCAGTCGGCCAGAGAGAGTCTACTCAGAAAAGAGCACGGTACAGCGCGTCAATGCAAGTCATTCTCACACAAATGCTGCATTTACTCAAGTGGGAACGCAAAGCACACAGCTGAG